GTCCCCCCGGAGAAGCTGGAGGAGGTGTCTGGGATGAGAAAAGTCTTGGAGTCCCTGCTTAGACTGCTGCCTTCGCTACCTGGCACCAGATAAGCAGAAGAAGATGGATGGATGAATGGAAAGATGGATAAAAATGTACATTGTATAGAAATAATCTGATCTACTTTACTTCAGAACACATTTAGAGCTTTAAAAGGCCCATATTATACACTGTTTTCTTTTTTTGTATAAATATTAACGTTTTTCTTCTCCTTTCTTTTCATACATGCGGGAGAGAGGATACATCGTACACATAATAGATTATAACATAGTCAAATAAATAAAATTATGTATAACGCATCCGAAGAGGGCCTAGCCAAAATAGTTCTCCTTGTCTACCCCAATAATTATCCCCAACTACATCCCTTCCACCCTCCCAGCCCACCTGTTCTCATTTTAAAATGTTGTCTTTTGATATATTTGGGAAAGCCAGTGTTCCACATTAGTAATGTAATTATTGTTATTAGTAATGAAATCAAGAACCCAATTTAGTTTTGTTAGAAAATTTTGATTTTTCCATTTGCCAGCAATAAGATGTTTGGCTGCAGTGACCTATGCTATACCTACATTATTTTCTGTTCTTATAATGTTGTTTTCTTTTCAAAAACATACCTGGAGTCCCTGTATATTTAGGCTGAGTTCTTTTCTCAGTAGAAAACACTCTCTTCCACTTTGTGATGTCATGTGGTAAAACGGCAAAACCTTCACTGCATTTTTATACATTTTCATTAGAATTTTTGGGATAATTTTAGTCCCGGAATTGCCAATCTCTACTGAAAAAACTACCACTACATGAAATCACAAGGTGGAACAGAGAATTTTGAGCATTGGAGATGTAGATAGAAAAATAATGCAGAATTACAGAATGACACAAACCACAACTCTGGGTATATTTTGGATGAGGTAACAACATTCTAACATGGCTTAAGTCTCACAAGAGTACATTTTGCATAATATTGGACCTTTCAAGAAAATGATGGTCAGCTCAGCTGCCATAAATGAACGAGATAATCTTTTTAAAGTTTTCTTTTTTTTTAAACACCAAGTGATAATGCACTGTCACTGCAAGAGATGCTATCCAGGAGAAGATGAAAACGGATATGGGTAAAACAAAAACTTACGACGTCATTCTATATTTTCTCAGATATTTCAGAAAAAGGACTCTGTTCTTCACCTCCCATCTCTCCGGCCCTCTAAAGATGAGACAACATTAGAGGTGAGAATAGTTCTTTTTATTTGTAACAGTTTTTAAATTTGTCCATATATTTTTGCCAAATAATACAAGAAGGCCACAGCATGGAGGTCAAGTGTGGTAGAAAAAAAGAGACCTTCAACAAATGGCCTGCAGGGATTTGAATGCCAAAGTTGTAATATTTACATCTGTGCACCACTCTAAAACATGGCAGCACTGGGCGCCATAATATTTAAATTTTTTGCATTCTCCCAATTGTATATTTATAGGGCCACGATAAGGTGCTTGTTCATAATACTATTTCAGAAAATGTAGCTTACTAGACATTTCCTTTGTGGGAAACAGGAAGATGTATACATCCTTTCTTGAGTAACCTACAATACTGTGACAAAATGAAATGAGTAAAAAAAGTGACAGAAAGTTCTGTATTTTGGGTCTGAGGAAACAAATGATTACATTTACTTGTCTGTCGGTAATTAGAAAAAAGCCTCAAAAATGTTTTCTTTGCTTTGGCCTATTATGTATTGTACTTGACGCATTGATTTAACCAAAACCTTTGTATTTAACTGTGATTAGGTTACTACTACTTAATTTTTTAAATTTAATTTCTCTATAGATAAAAAGTAGATAAATAAAAAAAATGTTTGTTTATTATATTGGGTTCAGTGCACAGGACAAATTTCCCTATGGGGACAATTAAGGCTAACAATAACATTATTTTTTCTTTATTAATTATAACTTTCATTTTTATTAAAAAGGCTTATGTACATAGACAATATAAAAATTTGTCATTTTTGGACATTTGACACTAAAACACTGAATGTGTTTCTTAATATATTCACATTCAAACATTTTAATTACAAATTAATCACAACTGAATTAATTGCACAGCCCTAAATTTTCTATATTTCAAAGGCTAAAATGAGACAAGCAATGCCAGACAGTGACGCAGAGGCCATGGCCAGGAGACTGGGAGAGATTCTTCAAAACACAGAGAGCCTCCAGGATGCACAGGAGCTACTGTCCTTGGCTCACAAACAGGTGGACGAGCTGCTTCACCCGGACTCCAACCCAGGCACCATCAATCACTGTCTGGAGGTAATAAAAAAACCCTGAACATGGATGAGCCTTGTGTTTATAATACTCAAAGGGTTTCATTGGTCTCATTTATAAAATAAAAGGTATTGTGAAATATTTGTCAACATAATTATTCTAAAATAACAAGTATTTGAAAATAAGGTGTTAACAAAATGTTGACAATACATTCATACTATTTTGACTATAGTCAGTCCATGTAGTCCTTAAGCAATAGTATTCATTTGTCCTAATCTACCCACGACAAAGACAAGATGTCTCATGAAACTGTTATGCCACTGTGTTGCGCCATGGCACTCATGTTGCAACAGTAGCAGATGTTTTGGAACAGATTCAGTTCATGACAGCATCAGTCAGAGCACTTTCAGCTAAATATTTGTAATGAGAGCTCACTGGGAACTATTAGTCAAGAAAAATGTTTTCAACTCTGTTTACTAATGTGGGATTTATCAAACTTCTTACTTTACATTGTTGCCCACTATCTCATTAAAATAAAATGTTTTATGGTTACATTTGTGAGTTTTTGAGTGATTTTCGTCGTATAGACTCTGTGGACTCATCATTGAAGAGTTTCTCGATGGTGGAGACAAGTGAAGCTCGAACAGCCTTACTCAGGCCTCGAGCCACAAACACATACAGGACGGGGTTCAGGGCACACTTTATGTAGACCAAGTACAGGGACACGTACAACCCAAGAGAGGCCCCTTTTAACAGGGCATGTCTGTCAGAACGCCCCACGGCCAGTGCCCGCAGGAAGCGGCACACAAAGTATGGCACCCAGCAGGTGAGGAAGATGAGCATGGTGAAGAACAGCATATGGTACATGCGTGACATCCTGCGAGCCATGGAAGGGGAGGAGGATGTGGGGGTGGGGGGCACAGCCTGATGAATGGTCAACAGCACGGCCAGGTTACTCCCCAAAAACATGAGCAGAGGAAATACGAAGCCTGCAAGGGTCTCCGTGACAAAGAGGCCCATGTTAAACTCATCACTGTCGTAGCACTGGTGTTTCCCTTTCACAGTCTTCACAACAGCAGTTTGGAAGTAAGGTGCCGACAGAGCTGTGGCTAACAGCCACATGAGGGCACAGGCCAGGGGGACCGCCCAGGAGGGCCGTCTGAGGCCTGCCCAGACCGGCCTGAGCAGACACAGGCAGCGCTCCAGGGCCACAGCACAGAGCAGGAAGGCAGAGGCGTATAGGCCCAACCCCCGGAGGAACACCACCAGGAGGCAGCACCCATGGCCGAAGGGCCAGCTGTTGTCATGGGCCAAGTACCCCAGCATGAGCGGAGTGCGCAGCAAGAGCACCAGGTCCGAAACAGCCAGGTTCAGGACATACACACGGAAACTACTGGCAGCACGGGTCTCCTCTGTACTGCCTCTGCGCCTCAGGTGTCTCTTCCCTCGGAGTCCAAGCACCCACACCACCAGCCCATTCAGAGGCACACCCACCTAAAGGTGAACAAAACACAAATGAACTTCTGTATGGTATATTATAATAAACCCCTCCTCCCAAAATGATCCCTGCCACATTCTGTTGCCACTGTGGTCCTCACCAAAAAGATGACCAGCGTGGCAGTGATCTGGACGCCTTTGATGGCCTCAGCCTGCCATGAGCTCGAACTGTTTGATAAGAGCTGGTTCACTTCTGTCGTCTGTGAGCGATTCTCCGCCATCAGAGCTGCGGTCAGCCTGTGAGGGCTAAAAACAGTTTTTTTTTTACTTAAAAACTTCAGTCTTTTGAATGTTGAGTCCAATAAACTGTCTTATATAATATAAATGTATGTATATATCTAATGCTTCCTTTGTTTTTTTATGGTGACTTTTTAACATCTGTGTATGGTCAGCACATTTATAGAAATGTTTATTAATGTATGATGTCCCTGTTAAAATAAAAATAAATGTGTCAACAGTCATCTGTGACCTAGATTAGATACTAGGGGTTCTGTGGGTATTAGACCTTGTTTAATACTCACGGAACCCCTGGTTTCTCGGAATTATTCAGAGAAAAAACACCAATAATTTATTAGATGATATCAATTTGCGTGCAATTTCTCTAAGTTCTCATATAAGGAACTTATATGAGATGATGACAGAAAATACAGCTATTTCACCATTATTGTCTGAATACCTTGCTTACTCAGACTTGTGCATATTGGTGCATTTGTGGTTTTTCACTTCCTTTTTGATTTGATCTTTCTTGTATTAGTCCACTCTAGTTCATAATTTCTTGCAAGTTAAAGCACACGCTGCTATTAACACAGTAATTGCAGACTATTTAATCAATTAATTATTAATATTTAATTTAAATATTTTCTTGTTCATATTTCAATTTTGTATTTGTGCCAGTAAATTGCCCACAATCTTTTCAAGCTGTATACTCCTCCCTATGATTCACCTGCATGCACGCTCAATAGTGTGCATTTGACTGTACCTGTAGAATCCACAAATGATTAACATGAAAGGAATTTGATTATTATTTTTATGCCTACAGGCACACACACTGAAAGCCCATGAGATCGAGCACGTGGGCATGCATTGACTTTGTATTTCTTTAATGCAAACACTTTTGTTAATATTCACACTTTAGCTACATTGCCAGATTAACTGATAGCTGTAGTGGCCACCTCACAAGCTCAAAAAGAATTGATTTTGAGAAAACATTTGAAGTTATTATAATAATATTAGTATTAACAATGGCAGAAACTTGTACAAAAAAGTGAAGGTGATAACTGCGTTAAAGCTTACCTCCTGGATGTCCGTGTGTGGCTGGAGAAAAGCAGAAGGTGAATCAGTAATGGGAGTAACTTGGTAGAACACTTTCTCTCTTCTTCCTGTGTGATTAGAACAGACCGCCTCCTTTAAACAGATCTGTTCAATTGATTATTTATAGTACTACCTTCATTATAATATTGTTCACTGAAAAAAAGAAGCTTACAGCCATAATGTGTAACCTTTTTTCCCAAAATAGATGAAAATAAAATAAAAGTAAAAGTATCACATGCAGAAATCTAGTAAAAGTATTAAAGTACCTGTTTAAAAATATAGGCTACTTAAAGAGCACCTGGAATTCCCAGTGGTCTCCCATCCAAGTACTACCCAGGCCCAGCCTGCTTAACTTCTGAGATCTGACGGGATCAGGCTTTTACAAGCACTGTTGGGCAAGTTACTTTGAAACTGTAATGCGTTATTTATTACCTATTACTGTCATTTCAAAGTAATTCGTTACATTACAATATTACTGCATTTAAAATGTAAGGCATTACATTACTATTGTATTACTTTAAGTTACTCTCACCAAAATAACTTTTGCACTGTATATGGACTGAACCAGGACTAAACCAGGTCTAATCCAGGACTAAACCAGAGCTGAACCAGGACTAAACCAGAAGTGAACTAGGACTAAACCAGAACTGAACTAGGACTAAAACAGGACTCACTGTAGGGACGGGCTCGAAGGTGACCGCAGGAGAAAGGAGCGGCTCTGCTCCGCACCTCACGGAGGTAAGAGCGGCTGTCACCCGATCGCTCTTTATGGACCCTGATGCTCGGGCTCGCGGCCCTGATTTCAGCAACTATTTGCAGGTACCCGAGCCGGTGCAAGAATCTGTTACAGCGCGTAACTTCTACCTTCCTTCAGCGTGTCCAGAAGTCCAACTTTTTGTGTGATGGTTTGCATCTTCCTCTGCCTTTTGGGTGCGAGCCCAGGAGCCTTTGTCGGTGCAGAACGTTTCGTCGACTTTGTGGGTTTCGTCGGGGAGAAAACTTGCAACCGTACAACACTTCAGAATCACACTGCTAGAGATTGAACATGTATTTAAATTTGGCAGCTGAACACATTCTGTACTGTACTGTACAGGAGACAGGAGTCCCTTGGCCAGTCAGGACGCAGCGGGAGGAACGCAATACGCATTCATACAATGTTATAAAAAAAAAAAAAGGCATGCAAAATTGCACACAAAAAAAAAATCTGCGAGACCGCGAAAAGTGAACTGCGATAGAGGGAGGGACGAGTGTAAACCAGGTCTAAACCAGAACTGACCCAGGTCTAAACCAGGTCTAAACAGCGTGGAGTTCTTTGTCAGTCCTTTCGCCCGCGGTTACCTGAAGGTCTATGAGGGCGCATGTCCGGCGTTTCCCCGCTGCTGATATCGAGGTGATTTTAGCGAATTTGTATGAAGAAAAAAACACCACTTCAATCCAGGTTAAAAAAAAAAAAACATTGTAACGCGCGTTACTCACATTTGTACCGAGTAAAATATTACTATTTTTTCCCCTGTAATGCCTTACATTACTGCGTTACAGCAAAAAGTAATGCATTACTGTAATTCGTTACTTTTATAACGCGTTACTCCCAACACTGTTTACAAGCCGGTATGGTACGGTATTGAGTTTGAAATATAATTAAGCTTCAAATTTGTGATAGTGATTTTGATAAAAGAATTGGGCTAAGTTTTGCTCAACAGAAACTATGAAACTAGTGATGTGTGATTAGTCGCAATATTGTCTCAAATGGTTCGACGTGTCTGAGGCCTTGGAGAAACACTGACCTCTAGTGGACAAATTTAACCATTGGCACGCAGGTGTCTCAGCAACGATGAAGTGTTGTCAGTGTAAGACAATACTTGTGTGCAGAGCATACACCGCACCTAACAACAACAATAATAATGATGATTTAAAATAATATGTAAAGAGCAACATAAATAGCAGCTGTAAATAAGAAAGTAGGTTACCTTGTTAGGTGGAATTAGATCAAAGTGATCCCAAACCATGAATCGTTTTTTTCCACTTGTAGATACCATCGAAAATTAAACAAATGCCAAAAGTCACCAAAATCACCACTAACGTCACACAATGCTCCTCACTACCCAACATTTTTAAGAAATATTGGTGCATCTTTTATACTGTAGCAATTCAGCGCTTGTCAAACCACGAACTGCACTGAACACGCTAAAGCACTCTGAACCAATCGCAGAGCGAAACATTCGCTGAGCCAATGAAACGCTTCGATACACTGAAGCGATTGACACGCAGAGTGAAGCAGTAGGGGGAGGGACCAACACTGCGACACTTTGGTCACGTGAGCGGCTGCAGCGGGACGAGCGCTGAGGCAGTGCTTCGGAGCAATTTGTTTCAGAAAGAACGAGACGTGCCCGGAGCTCCGTCTCATTTGCCCATCACTATATGAAATACATTTTTTTCCCTAGCTGTTTTTATTTGTGTGTTTTTGCTTGCTCAGGTTCTAAAAGTGTTTTCATCATTTTGTATATTTTGGATGTATATATTGCACAGTAAAACATGTCCTTACAAACCTGGCTACTACTTTACTACTATCATCTTCCTGTATGATGTGCCTGTGCCAGCTACATAGTATGCCATTAAGTGTACATTTTGTTTTCTTCTTCACCAGGGAGCCTTTGATATCACATTCTTGGCTATTTAAAAGAACCATAAACCTTTGATGCCCTAACCCAAAACCTACTATCATTTTTATGTGGTCTTTTACCTTTGATTTCATACTAGCTTTTTGCTCTGTGATGTTTGCCATAGTGTATGGGGTTACTTCTAAATTAAATATATATATTTTATTTAAACATTTCTCTAAATTTGGTTGTAGTCTAGATGCATTTATTATGACAGCTATTACAGCAGACCTTGAATGAAGTTTTGATCAGATGTCTGGTGATGTCAGTACATGTCTGTGGTATCTGGAGACTTTGAGGCCAAGAAGACACATCCCCACATTTGTAAAATTCGTCTCACTCCATAGTTGTTTAATGCAGTGTGTTGAATTGGACACTAGAGGGCAGTGCTGCTCCCTATCATCATAGAGATTTGTCATTTCTGCAACGTGCTTTGGTTTTGGATCTCAGGGCTCAAGCATGTACTCGTACTCACAATCTGCATCAGAATATATCACAGAAATATTTTTGATATTCTGACATTTTTCGACCACAAAAAGTGTGTCTAAGAATTATGATTTTATATAGGGTAACCTATATATAGGATTTTTTATTTATTTATTTTTCCCAGACCACAAACCACCCATGGTCTTGAGGTCACCGGAATGGAGTTAAAATGATTTAGCTGCGTGGTCGTTGATTTAGTTCAACCATAGACAAATTGACCTGATTCCCATTGCACTCCTCACTGAAACGTTTTGTGGTGTGATGCCGGAACATTTCAGATATGTTTGATGCACCCACACTTCCTTTAGAGCTTCTAAATTTAGATGCAGATTTTTGATCGGGGAAACCAGACACATGTGCTCCACAGTGGTTTGACAGACAGGGAGGTGTGCTGCCATAGCCTATAATGTTGACTGTCTTGAACTTTTGCTCATTTGTCAATTTTTTATTACTTTAAAGATGTACTAAGTAACTTTTTCTGGTGGTGTGGTCAGCCACCTGCTTGTCCTTGGAATGTTCCTCAATTTGATATTAAATTTACAGCTTGCATTTATGAAATTAAGCCTGTGCTTGGCCTGGTGGCAAGTTACATAATGCCCTCTTTAGATGACCATTATAAAAACATGGGGAGATTACATTGGCCTTGGTATTTATTACATGAGACCTGCTTTGTGCCAGAGATGTCCACCACTAGTATCTTTCCCTCAGAGTAAGACGTCCATCTGAATCATCAGACACTGTGTTTTTTAGAGGGGTCTGAGGGCCCTTTGTCCCTAGTGCTCACTGCCCAGCCCTGTGGCGCTTCATCTGAGCCCATGTGACAGGTCTAGAGAAACTGCTGATTTAACATCAGTCTGTGATGGTGGTTGGTGGTGGATCAGAGGAGGTCTGGAGAGGCAGATGCATGGAGGAGCCACCAATCTCCAAAGGCTCAGAGTGTTTTATCTGCCCTTAAGTGCTTCTTTGAACCTATTGTCTGACCCCTGGTGCAGTAGTTCTTGGGTTCCTTCTAGTGCACTACAATTCCTTGTTGTGGCAATGTGATAGTTTGAAGAAAGGGCAATCTATTGCTGTGTTTCAGATGACATCAAGGCATTCTGTAGGCCAATAACATTTAATATAGACGGGGGACAGCTAAAATTAATATTGTTTAACTGCAGATTTTTAATGCAATATAACATGGTCTTGGATCGAGTCAATAATAGAAATGATCAGGTTCCATTTTGGGAATTTACCTTTCCAATATTTCATGGTAAAGTACAATGCAATTAATAGAAAAAAACTGTCTCTTGCCCCCCACTAGATTCTAGAGTCTGTTTTTTGTGAATTCAGCACATTTTGACTTTAATTATCATCTCACAATGTTTTGATAATATTCATAACAGTTAAATATCCAGTGTGATTTTTACCACATTGTTTCATTGTCTGCTTATTTTATTTAGTATAGGGCAGTCTCTGAAAGTCTGGACTGAAATGTTAGACTAATGCCTAGACTATAGCTGATTTGCCTAGGACATTTTCCCTTTTCAGTCATATATATGATATGTCACTCTTTAGCCCAATTTTGATTCAAACCACAAAGATACAACCTCATTTACAGAAACCCGTTCTGTCAGCTGTCTGACTTTTGTATCCACTAAACAGAAGTGTGGTCTGCTCCTAAATGCCCACACACAAAAAATATGCGGCCCTAATTTGTGGTTTAGTTTTCTTTTGCTCATGACAAACTGAGAAGTAAATCGAAAGTAAGTGAGGTTATGAGAATGTTAAGTCACAACAATATAATATAATATTATTATTATTATGTTATTATGAATATATGTAGTATATAATAATGTTAATATTATTATATTATATATTCATACTATGATATTATTTTCTCTAATCTCAATTTCCAGTTGAGTTCCAGAGGCAGTCTAAGCTGACACAGACCTCACTCCAGACACGTTCTGCAGCTTTTCCAGAGGGATCCTGAGGCATTCTCAGGCCAGACGAGAGACAGAGTACCTCCAGGGAGTCCTCAGTCTGGAACTTTGCCTTTCAATGCTGCTCCTTTACCACAAAAAAAGGCAGCACTGATCCACCTGCCTCTGAGCTCATCCTCTCACTCAACATTATTTTTGAATCATTGAAAGAAAATTTGTGGCATTGGATTTAATGAATTTCTTATAATAATAATAATAATAATAATAATAATAATAATAATAATAATAATAATAATAACAATAATAATAATAATAATAATAATAACAACAACAACAATAATAATAATAATAGTAATTTGGTATGGTTTGATATTTAGATTTAAAACTATAGTGTATTTTGAAAATACTTAAATTTACCTTTACTTTATCTCTTTGCTGTATAAGTTTCCTTTTCAGATATTATAACACCTAATTTGATCCCATATTCACTGTTTTTGTATTGGCATAAGTTTCATACCAGATTCCTGATATTAATTATCAGAATAGAATGTGTAAAATCTTTTTGTGAATAAATCAACATTCATGTTTTTATTTCTAAAATAAATATTTAATTTAAACATGTTTTATTTTATATCAAAGGAAACAAATTATATTCAAAAAACAATGCTTTCCAAATTCACAATTACAGTGCTACTGGAGTGCCTTTTCCTTGTCCAAATTAATTTATACAGATTTTTTTATTTTTTATTTCTTAGCCACCATCTATTTCCATTAAAATGTGATTACTTTTATAAAATATATTATAAAAGGGGAAACTCAAACTTAATGACAGGAGACTGTTTGAAGTTAATAATATTGTGCTTTTTTTATTTTGAATTTCCCGAGTTTAGGGGGGGTCCCTGTGTGTCTGGGCTGCTTCCCCGCCTCTTCATGTTCTCACAGCCCTTCCTTTAGATCATGTGATGTCAGTGCGGTTTCCTCTCTGAAGCAGCTCTCGGGAGGCGGCTGTTTTTGGGGACAGTGGCTGCTGGAGAACACAAACATGGATTGATAGCGCGAATATATGAGGGGATGCACCGAGTCTTTCCAGAATCAGAGCAATATGACTCGTCATCACCATTAAACAATACAAGAGTATTCTCAGGCAGTTTGAGAGGAGGAGCAGAGCACACTCATTTGGTGAAAGGAGGTCTTTCTCAGAAGCCCCTAAATGCCACACCCTGACCCTATAACTGAAAGTGTAACTCATTTGTGGACTACAGCGCACTCATCCTGAGGTCCCAGTGCAGGTGCCCTGATGAGAAGGGGTCTCTCTTGTTTTCATGCCAGTGATGAAATGATCAGAACTGTTACCCAAAACTTCTCACTATTATACTGTTGTAGATTCAAAAGTCAAAACTTGAAGTATAAATTCAAATTACTAAGGGTACTAAGGGACACATTCTCTCTGCAGTGACTGTATTGCTACTGAATACTTTGTCTTTTTTAACTAGACTAACGAGACATATCAGTGCTCAAATCACCTACTCATTCTGGCCATCAGTTCAACTGTTGGAAAGACCATAAGTTTTCATTTCAAACTGATCTTGATTATGGATTTTGTGTGGAGGCTCCCCCTATGACAAAAACATGTTAAATACAACTTTGTTCAGTTTTAAGGTTTGCCTTGACTGTTTTGTAACACATTTGGCATCTGGTACAAATATCTTGCTTAAAAAACTAAAAAACATTTGTATGTGTCACTTTGTCACAATTCATGAATTGGCTCCAATTATATGTCAGTTAAAATTGTAACTGTTAAAAGTAACATTTTGTTGATTCCTGCATAATATTGTGCAAAATCCACCTAAAGTTTCATGATGTCAGTTGTTCAGCCTACTCCTTCATCACTTTGACGTTTATGTAAAAAGCCCAGCTCAGTTCAAATGCATGATATTTGGTCCTGTCCTCTATGTGGGCTGCATTTACATATGAGATAAAAGCATCTTACTGCAAACGAGTGCGTGATTTCTTTTGCTATACTCATTCTGTTAAAAGGGATTTTTACATGAGTCATACACAGGGGCCGCTATATAAGACATGTGTTGCCTGAACGCTGTTTACTTCTAAATGAGAGAGACAGCAGAAAGAGGAAGTACCGGATGACAACAGGTGAGTGAAGCCATAGACATACTATGAACACACTACACACAATAATTTACACACATTTCCTGAACAAGAGCTTTGGAACGCTTTTAGACTCAGCTGTGACATCCTGTGTGGCTCTTCATGCTGTTATATAATGGGATTACACTCTCTTGTGGTTAAACAAAATGAGCCTAAACTACTCCACTGGCACTGACTTATACTTATGGTGTGGCCAAAAAAGAATAAAAACAAAACAAACAAAAAAACAATGTATGTCATATGCTGTTCCTAAGCCTGCATTTTTCTAGAGGATTTTAAACTTGAGCAACATTTGTGTAATTTTTAAGATAATTTTTAGGCTTTCATGAATTAAAAAAATAAAATTTTCTTTAATTTTCTTGTGTCTCAAATTACAAATGAAATTTCAATGTTCAGGTTGCAAATCTCAACTCTTAGATGAAGTTTTTATATAATTTTGTCCAACTTTAACAACATCTAGGATCACATTATTTTTTTTTTTTCAAGTAAAACCATAAAATGCCTTTTCTGTTGTGTCTAATGAGTATTTGTGTCACCCCCTGCAGGAGTGAAGTCAGAGGTGCACCCCAGGTAAACCCGTGGACCGCGTGTGAACTGTCCCATGGTGAAGTTAATGCTAAACGTGATAGGGGTTGTTCTTTCCATACACCTGCCATGTGAAGCATTAGCCTCACCGTGGGAGATTTCTACTCAGAAGAAGTCTCTCATCATAAAAGTCTGGTATCTGCCCATGAAAAATGTCGTGATTTAAACAAACCATCTATGATTATTCAGTTTCCCTTGTTTCAATTGTTGATTTAACCATCAGATGATGAAACAGTCAACTGGTCAATACAAGACAAACAGATTAATCAACATTCACAGTAAACAGGCATTTTTAAGTATTAGTTTTATTTCATAGGAAAAGTCGGTTGCAGCAGTGGAAACAACCATAACATTTAGAGGAATAACAAATGTCGAGGAATATATTGGCCTTAAATTCCATGATGCTGGAAGTATTATTATGTAATCTAAGTCTCATCTCATCTGAACTTCAAAATATAACATGTTGCTGTTGATTGTACTCTTTGGCTGTCACTTCAATTACACGTGCTTTAATTGGTGTGCAGAGGCCATTTTATTATAGTCTATAATATTAGTCAGAATTAGAAAGGGGTTTTCCCTCCTGTTTCTCTGTATTACTGTGAGCCAGACGGCATAATGGATTATTATCTGCCTCTGTGCCGTGGCTAATTCACTCTCTGTGGTTAAATTGGCACCACCAGAAATGAAGGCTGCTGCAATTAGAGACGCAAATGGGGGTCAGATAGGGAAATCAAAACATATAACATTTAGTCAGTATTAATAAGTGGCACACTAGTGTGAAAGCTAAAATAGCCTGTTAATCTTATGCAATGTGATTTTAAATGCTGTTTTATGCAATAAAGTTATGGATGTTAACCTCTGACTTTGGCTTTTATTTTATATTATATATGTGTTTATCTTCACTGTCTCAAAGAGGTGCCCTTTTCTGGACATGCTGTAGAGGTCGAGTGACTAAAGCCTGGAGCAATATAATCTTTTAAACCATTTCAGTTCAGATTCTTTCAAAATGAAGGATTAGCCGTGGTTTAAAAAACAGGATTTACTAGGTTGTAAGCTATCAATGATATGTAGCCTATCAATTCCACATGCTTTTACAAAAAGACTATTGCAATAAAATACAGAATTTTATTAGAAGTTACATCTAACATTTCAATTTTAAATGAAATTATTGCTACAAGGTTGTTTTAAACACATTATTGTACATGGGACCGTAATTTATTAAATGGCATAAGTCTAATTTATGTTATTTAATCTGCAATTACATTTTCGTTTAAACTTGGGAATCGTGTAGCCTAAAGCATTCCTCAGATTTCTCCTCGTGTCCCCTCTCCCTCCTCCAGCTTACACAGTGTACAGTGGATGGGCGGACCGGCCGGTCAGCTGACTGCTGAAATACTCCTCACTCTGCCCCCAATACATGGATATCGTCACGGGAATGATTTTCTAGCCAATTACGCACAATGTGGAACATTTCATCCGCGCGCGGCTCTTGGAAGACTCCGCGCGGATCCCTCTCCAGGATGCGCCTTGTCCCGCGCGCGCCGGGAGTCACTGGAGACATGCAGAGGCAAAAGACTGGAGCGCGCTCCGTTTCATGATCCCGACGAGTCGGAGTCAGAGGCTCGCCCTGGTTCCTGTGATGGGGACAGTCTCATGGCGCTGCGGTCCCGTCTTGGTCCTGACTCTGGTCTGCTCCTGTCTCGCCATCACTCTGGAGTCCATCCACTGGAGCAGCTCCAACACCAAGTAAGTGCGAGGAACAGGTGCGCATCCGAATGGACTCACAACTTCGCCCTGATACTGCTATGCGTAAAAGATGCGTAAAAGGACAATTTGGCTCCGAACCAAAAGATTTGCAGCGGTATTTTTTATTGATTCATTTGCAATCCCGGTTGCATTATTGAACTATACTGTTTGTTATTATAACATATAAGTCCATGTTACAATATACAGTGTACGTGTTGTGCAGTGGGACCCTGCCTTACCCTGCCAGATAATTTTATGCCAACCATTTGCTTTGGAAAAGTGTTTTTCCAGATTAGTACTTCCACTTGGCTCTGCCAATCTTATCGCTCTACTGTGTAAGAGGATTCACCACAAAATCTTACAGATCCTCATATTCTGCAGTTGGTCTGTAGCTTTCAGTTTGGCCTTAATCACACAAGTTCCAAAATGATACTTTGCTTCTCTTGGATGTTTTATTTTATTGTCAGTGTCTCTTGGTTAAAACTGTTTATTAATTTTCTCAGGTTTGTCCGTGGCCTAGGTCTGACCCTCTACCCACAAATTGGGGACAAAATGGACATTGTGTGCCCCAGATCAGAGCCAGGGCAGCGGGAGGAGTTTTACCGTGTTTACCTTGTGTCCCGCAGACAGATGGACACATGTGTTATAGAGAAGACGGACACTCCTTTACTAAACTGTGATAAACCGCACAAAGACGTTAAATTCACCTTCAAGTTTCAGGAGTTCAGCCCAAACCTTTGGGGCCTGGAGTTTCTCAAAGGGAAGGACTACTACATCACATGTGAGTCCAACTGCATTGCTCTGTCTTTCATTCAGTATTTTCAGCGGGTGTGAGTGGTCTGTGCTAAATCCATCTTTTAAATGTGCACTATGTAACTTTTCTGATGGAGAATAGGTTACCTGCTAGTCTCCATGGAGATGTTATTGCATAGCCTGAAGTGTTACACGGTGGCATCAGCAGGTCAAGTTACAAGCCAGATCTTTGGAGAGGGTACCCTGCTGACAGTAACAAGGCATGTATTTTTCAAGGTATTCTTGAGCCATAAAATAATCTAACTGAACAAACGCAACATATACATTTAATGCCATACTGTGGAACAATGGAAGGAAAGCAATATCATCGCCCTGGTGGAAAGTTGGCAGCGGACCAGCATTTATGGACATTTAGCTCACTTCAAACCAAAACAAATAATCTATATTCTGTTTCACTTCATCTTATTCATTAATTTTGTTTAAGCCAGGACAGGTTTATTATTATACAGTTTGGACCAGCAACTATGTGCCTTAGGTGGGAACTGAACATATCTGAAAGCAGTGCAATATAGGCTATTTACATTTTCCGTTTATTTGGTTCCTGAAAACTTCACTCACTGAGATTGTGGTTGGTCAGTCAAAATATTCATATCCTCCCCTAGAATTTCATGATGCTTCCAATAGAGCTATGCAATTAATAAAATCAAGCACCAGCAGTTTCAAATTGATAAAGTATGGGGCTTTTAAACTTTAAAAGGTTAATAGCTAGTCCTGCTAGTTAAAGCATCTTGTTTGGAGTAGAGTTCAGAATATGGAGAAGTAAATTTAAATTACTATTACTACTTCTGTTCAATGGCACTGATTAAAAGTCTTGTTTATGAAATAACTGAATGTGATTATTTTTATCGCTTCCCATTGTGTTTCAATTTAATGGTCTAAAATAAATTATGCATAAGTGCTGTACAAGCTGCTACAATTTGCTCTAGATTCAAATCAATGACACCAACCCTTTTGCTACTGTTGGAATAGGAAGTGGTCCTCTTTAGCTCCCTCTCACCATGTCCCTTCACGTTACCATCACTTAGTTAAGCCTTGTTTTTTTGGTGCTCTGTCTTAATGGCAACTGATGCGTGTGATGGAGGCGCGTACAGAAGAGAGCTGTGGTTGTGTCCAGTGCCATTCCTAAAGCTTACATGACCCAAATCACTCAGGGCTAGTACAGCATCAGGCAGATTTGATGCGAATTTTCATGGCAACGAAGCTTGTAGCCTCTGAGTTGTTGCTATGTGACCTAATTGCGAGTTACTGGTGATGGCAGGGGTGACGCAGAGTTGAACGTAGATGGATGTATGAATGCTTGTGTTATCTAGATAACACTTTTTTTTTCTAAAACTAGTTCTAAGGCTTGTTTCTTTGCATTAATGGGACATTTTGGGTTATTTTTTGGCTATATGATACGATTTAAGCTGTAAAAGTTTGAAGTAACCACTTCTATGACTCATTACAGAGGCAAACTAAGTACTTAAGTGTTTCATTCTGCTATTTATTTATCACAGCTGATGATTTTTTTTAAACAATATTGTACATTTGAAAGTTTTTATGGTTTAATCTGGTCATCTGGTCTTCAGTTACTGTGTCAGTGGCACAAATTAGTTTCAATATTATCGTTTATCATCTTTATTTACTTAAAGGTGCATTGTGTAACTTTTCTGGTGAAGGGTCTGTCAAATGCTTTTAACAGACCCTCATTTCACCATATGGTATTGATATACATGATATACATCATGGAGATCAGATCTGCGGAGAGGTGACCCCGTTCACAGTCAGAATGCCTGCTTTTCTAGGTATAGAAAGAGCTATAAAACCATCTGATATTGAATAAATGTAAATGTAAGGTAGTGCTGGTAGAGAAAGTGGAGAGATCCCCCCAGCCAAAAAGTTATATAGCACACCTTTAAGTTTGTAAAGATTGCATTTCTTCCAAATATAATTTAATATTTTCTGTTTGCTTGGTCAGCCACCTCCACAGGCTCTCTACAAGGACTGGACAACATCAACGGGGGAGTGTGCCGGGCCAAGTCCATGAAGCTAGTGCTAAGAGTTGGACAGAGTAAGTCACTTGTATCCAAAACACAATTATTCATTTATCACTTTTTTTTTTTATTGTGCTGTATAGGTCTGCTCAATTAAGGAAAAATCATTATCACAATTATTTTGGTCAATATTGAAATCACTATTATTCAAATTATTTTTTAAAGATGCATTTATTCAGTATTTATCTAAAAAATAAATAAATAAATAAATAAACTTGTTATTGATAATTTATGCAAAACTTTCAAATTGAAAACAAATATAGGCTACAAATATGTACCTTTGAGCAGTTTCAATGTATAAAACATAAAGTTAATAAATTATACTTTGAACATGAAATAAGGCATAGGAAAACATAAACATCTCCAAAATAAACTATATATCCAGCTGTTCTATACTCTCTATATTTAAAAAAATAAAATAAATATACTTATTTATATATTTTTAAAAATCCCCAAATAAACTTTAAGTTTTAAATCGCTTCAACTCGATTATGAGTTTGGAGATTGTTTGACACACAAATTGAAATCAAGATCAAAATTCAATTAATTGTACAGCCTTTGTACTGTACTTATTTAAGTATTCACAAAACACAATTATGCTGTCTCAGTTGGGTTATTATGTGTATAAAACTTTCTAACTCTGTACTTTTGACCTCTTCAAACCTGTTCTGAAATACAAATATTTAGGTCTAGTTTACTTGATAATGTTTCATGTCTCAAATGTTAAAGGTAGACTGATGTAACTTTTGGATGATGGTAAAATAACCTGCTGGACTCCATAGAAATCTTATTGTTTTTCTTGAAATGTTCCACTGTATGGCATTAAGTTGATCTATGCTGCATTTATTCAGTTAAACATGTTTTTATTGCTCAGAAAGCTCATAAAAAAACTGCATTCTTATGTGAGTGGGGCCACCATGTAACTTAGCCTGGTGATGTCACTTATTTGTCTCCATGGAAATAAATAAGTCTAAGGCCATAGTCTGGAACATTCTTGGCAAATCAGGAACATCTCCATGGAAACAAGCATGTGGTGGACCCTTCACTAAAAGTTACTTAGTGCCCCTTTATTATAAAACATAAATTATAAATCTAATCACCATTTCAATGCTTGCAAGAAGAATTACAACCACACATTCTTCAACATTCGTTCAACACTAACTTAGAGTGTACTGAGTTGACATACAGTGTTTAAGTCAGATGTCCTTCCTGACACAGTCCATTTGTCTGGAATTGGGAGCCTTTGGATTCATTTGTGGACACACTGACGTAGATCTGGTTCCCTTAATGCAAACTATTGGCAGCTTAAAAAAGTATTATTTATCATGTGATCAGTGGATTTGAAGAGGTCAAAACGCTTCACCTTTAATGCAGAAGTATGTGTGCTACAGTCATGCGCATTACAGTTTAATCTTATCAATCATCTTACATTTGTACTACACTGGACATAACCCTGACAGTCTGTAACATTGGGTGCAGTATCCTCCATGCTGTACTACTGATTTTAAAAACCGATGCAGTAATTTTATCCCTGCGATAGGAAAAAGTCTCGATATACATAATTCAGGAGTTTGACTTGGAGATGAAAAATCAGCATTTTGTGAGTTTCAGTTCTGATCATGAAAGCATGTGGCTGTTTGCTTGCTGTGTTTACGAATATCACTGCTGTAAACCAGTATTTAGATTAGAGGAAACATTAATAAATCAGACTTAGCTCTGATACTCAGCTTGGGGTAAAACTGAAAGCCAGTCTTTTCAATATTGGAGAGGTTGTGCTTTAGAAATTAATTAAATTATACTTTTGTCATCTACATTTAATCACAGATATTTATTTATGGGGCCCACATAATTCTATGAAGGAGAACCAATTAATAAATAATAAAAATTTACTGGATCAAGTCAGCCAAAGCCATTTACTTTGCCATATTCATTTACTCCATATTCGGTATAGCCAAAGCTGTCCAGGGGTAGACTGACAAAAACAAGACTGCCAATCTGAACCATCACCCCCTCCAGGGACCAATCACTTACTTATGCACACACCACGTTCATATTAGCCCAGGTGAGAAGTGTCTTGCTTAAGGACACAACAATATTGCACACTAGATCCACAGTTTAGTTTTTCCAGGAGGAAGTAACTAACCAACTACATAGGCCCAAGGTAGGGATGGGTGATCTTCATATTTTTGTATTATCCTGATGGTAGATGATATTGTTGCTTTATGATGTCAGAAATGTGCTGAAACAAGTTAGCAAATGGTGTGGTTGAGGTTTAAGGAACACACAACAGTTGAATGCACTGTAAAATTAACCACAAAAGTACATACATGTGTTTCCCCTAGTTATTTTACTTTTAAAGTATTCAATTTATCTTGTATGTTTCTAATTCGTTTGATAAATCTCTCAACTTAAGCATTCAGGAATTTAAGATATTCTGTAACATTGCCACACAGAGCCAGCTCTATCAAGGTCAACCACAATTGTATTTTACAGTTCAACATGAGATTTCTGTTTCTTTGTAGTATGAAGATTCCCAGTTTGAGCATTGACCTGGAAACAGCTTGAACTGAAACATGTGAACAATCATTACTATGCATCTTCATTGTCTTTCTATAATATGTAATGTGTTTCTATGAATGAGATGTAGGCATTGTCATTTAGATATCTCAACAAGACTATTTTCTGATTTCATTCTGTGCTTTCCCCATATTCAAAACCACTGAATAAATTGAGTACTTTCATTTATGTTTTGGTGGAAAAAGTTATGATTTAGACATTTTCCAAGTAAGAAATAGTAAATGTTCCAATTCTGACCTGAAAAGAAACTGCACCTGTTTTAGAATAAGTGTTTTACTATATTTCTTTGAATAAAATGCATGCTACATTGTGGTGTTACGCATCATGTGGTCACGAGAAGGGAAAGAGCACAAAGCCCCATTTAGACATGATCTTTAAAGGTCCTATATGTCACAAAATTTACTCTTGTGAGCTTTAAAACATGTTAGAGTGTTTTTACCACATCAAAAACATAACCGGAGTTGTGTTTTGTTTCATTCACACATGTTTGAGTAACACTTTATTACTAGTCTATCTACCTTTCCAAAGCTTCCTTTTACCTTTTAATTTAGTAGAGATTGACATTTCTAGGGCTGATTCTTGTGAAGGTGTATGGAGTTTAAAAACACAGTGGACCTGTATAATGTTTGAGAAAAAAAATCTGTCTAAATATGCAGGATTTGTGTGTTACACATGTGTGAAACAAAACAAATCCATGGTATGTTTTCAATAATACGGGTGCTTTAAAGTTTAAAAACACTGCTCATAACATAATTATGTAAACGGATATATATAAATAAATCAGCTGAATTGTTTTTCAGACTCTTCGGAGCCACTCTCTACACTTCAGGAGTCTCCCACCAGATTCCCACCCACTCGACCAAAGTCCAAGGCCAAGGAACCAGACCCCAGTGATGTCAAGGGTAAAGCTGTTTGTATCTACAGCAATATAAACTCACCAGGGTTAGTTTTTAGTCTCATTCTCTGGTTAGAACATGAGAAAAACAGCCTTTAGCCTTTAAAATGAGTAAGATATATGTTACATGTGAGTAAATATATGCAGATTTATTCAATTATTTATTAGTCAATGTTTACCCAGTGTAGAAAACATACTGATGAGTCACTGCACATAGATACTCAAATCTAGCCAAGTTAAGATTACTTGAATTAAGAAAGTTTTATCATGATCTGAGCCAATTTCACTTGAAAAGTAAAATTATCTACCAGTGGATCAGGACTTTTTGTACTTAAAATATGAAAATAAATCTTGCTACACTTAAGATAAGAATAGGATGAAGAAACAAACTCAAATGCTGCTTGAATTAAGAAAAACACTTATCAACTGGTAGATAATTTTACTTGTCAAGTTGAATCTGCTCAAATAATTTAAGTGTTTTTAACCTATTATTTTTTGCAGTGTAGTGTTATAATTTTGTAACAGTATTAACATTTAAGGGTGCACTGTGTAACTTTTGCGGTGGAGGGTCCGCCATATGCTTGTCGCCATGGAGATATTGTTGTTTGACCTTCATTATTACACAATATTTAAAATAAATTTGGTAATCCCAATGGAGACAGGTTAATGGTCAGATCTATGGAAAAGCAAGTCTGTACATGGTAAGAATTCACATTCAGAGTATTTTTGAGCTATAATTGAACAAATGCAAGGGTGATATGTTTAATGCCCTACTGTGGAACATTCCAGGCAAAAAAAAAAAAAAAAGTTACACAGTGCACCTTTAAGCAGTGTGTTTGGCTGTCTGTAAGTGGCAATGTGATTTTACTTCTTTGATGGCATGTATGTACATTATGTTCAGATTACACTGTTTTTCTAACCGATAAATGTCGCAGTTATCATTAAAGATTAAATTATCTCTAAATATGGGAAAACAAAATTGACTGTCTTAATGTAGTGGCACAAAATTAATTAAAATGTTAAGTCTGTGTAAATTTTTTTCTACAATATCAGCCACTTTATCCGCAAATTCCTACTTTCTCTTGTTTCTTTTTTACCACTTCACTTTAGTTGCCCAAACAAGTGAACACTTCTCATCACAATACCACATTAGCACAGCTTTTACACACTAACCAGGCTGACCACAAGAGAGCTGCACATGAATATAAAAAATGCTGTTTTGAAGTTTGTGATCATGACTTGTGGCTAGTGAGGAATATTCATGCCACAGTATTTTCACATATACTGTAGGCTTTTAATACTGGGTGATAGGACTTGACAAATTCTAACTAAGGGTCACAGTGAAACCACAATTTATATATTATAATATTTTTTAATACAGTATATTGTTGTTGGGAATATTTATATCATGGCATTTTGACATTTTGGCCTACAGGGCTTGATAAGACAAATATTACAAAGGATAACAGATAAAACGACAAATAAATATAGCGTTTTATATTATGGGGTGTAATTTTGTAAAGTAATAATGGTCTATGTTATATTTAATCAAGTTATTTTTATTTGTTACTACTTATTTATATGTTTATGATAATACAACAAGCAAAATGTTTTGTTTTGTTTAGTTTTTTTTAAGCTGGGGGAGAAAATAAATGAGAAACAACTCATATGTTCTGATTTTGTCAGATAGAAGATCATGATGTTAATTCACAATCTAGTTATTTTTAACGCAGATACTGATTCTGACAATTTTGCAATATAGTTTTAAACAATCAACATGAATACAAACCTGAGAAAAAGACTTTAAGAAAAAGAAATTATCGGACCAAAGCTTTGTGCTGAAATGTTATCCATGATTTAAAAAGTTCTGGACATCAATCTGAGTGTGCAATGAATTTTTTTTTCACTTGTAAGTTGCTGTCCCTTCCATTTGCACCTCTATAGGAACTTCGGTGTGCGTTTTCTGTTTCATTTGTCCTAATTTTTTTGTCCCATGCTTGTTCCCCTCTTGTTGTAATGACAGACTTTGCCTCAGAAGCGGGACAAACCAACCCCAGTGGCGCTGATGGCTCTGATCCAGGCCTGGTCGTGTGGCTGGTGTCTGGCGGGGTGCTCCTCCTTCTGGTGGCCTTCATCGTTTCGTTTGTGGTTTTGTGGAAGAGACGTCGTGGTCACTGCGTCCCAGATGGACCTCAGTCTGCCTCTGTGTCCCTCAACACTCTGACGGTGCCCAAACGGGACAGTATCAGCAGTGACATGGGCTCTGACCGCAGTGATGTGGTCTTCCCTCTCAGGGCGTCTGATAGTATGATCTATCGCCATTTTGAGCGTGTGAACAGCGACTATGGCCCACCTGTGTATATAGTACAGGAGATTGCCCCACAAACTCCTACTAACATATACTACAAAGTCTGAAGTCCATCTGCACATATCAGTACTCCAGACACTCAGGTGACTTTTAGTTTTGTACATTTTTATTGTTAAAAAACTGGTTTGACAGCTGTCTGTGGCCATACTAGCACCGATGTCATCAACATTTCCTGGGGGTGTGATGCTAACTGAAGGCACTGCTCTGTCTGAGGCTTTGTTTTAGAGTTTTGTTTTAACACAATTTGACCAGGAATAACTGACTTAGTTAAAACTACAGGTGAGATGATTTGAATTCTTAAACAAGTCCTTCTCAAATACCATTACAGTCAAAAGTTTATATGTTTCTTCAGTTAGTCACTCACCTTTTTATTGAAAATGAAACACCTAAATATGACCATGAGCTCATTTTGATCACAGGCTCCTGAAAATGATTTTTTGAGTCCATTTTTTGATTTGTTTGTTTGTTTGTTTTTTGAGTTTTGAGATGATCTAAAAACTTTTTGGCAGTGTTAGCTGATGTCTGTATTGTGTCACTATGGTAACAGCTGAACATTCTGCCACACACACATAAAACAAACCTGGCATGATGTCACTACAAAGTATGAATAGGTCAAAATATTGTGGAAAGGTCAGTATTTTTATTTAACTATGCATACTTATTTCAGTTGTGCCATTTAAAGTGAACTTTTTTGGTTTTATTGTTTGTTTGTTTTGTATTAAGTTGAGAGTAGATATTCATTCAAAGAGATGCCCATCCTGGCGTGTTTGAGAGTGGCATTAAGTACCTACATGTGTGCTGATAAGATGTTTAACCTTACAACACGTTACAATTGACTAATTAATTTATTATTTATTTTTTCCACAATATTTAAATATATTGATATGACAGAAGTGCTTTCCTAAACCAGCATAAATAGTAAAGACATTTGAATAGTGGAAAGAAATGGGGAACTGAAAGTTTAATCACTGTTCTTGTCACAGTAAATCATGTTTTCGCTGGATGCAGTATTAGTAACGTGCTTTATCTAGTCACTTTTGAGATAAGTATTTATGAAGAAATTGAAACTCCATGGACTGTTACTTTGTTCATTTCTTGCGGGACCCACCTTTGCATTCTTTTCTTTCTAATGTAAAACAATGTGAAAGATGAATTTTGTGGCGCTGGATGCGTGAAATTAGTCTTTACTCCGAGGACCTTCTCTCTTCATTACTTTCTTAATGGTGCTCCTGGGAACAAGACTGTCATTCTGCTGGTAACTGCTCCAGTGTACAAACCTGGGGAAAACTGATGTGTAAGAAATGTATTCATATTTTCATTTGTAATACATCGATGTGTTCAAATGTTTGTACAGCTTGTTGCACTCTATCCCTAAAGTGTTAACCCTTTGAAACTTGCACTGTCAGAGCGCACTCCAGGTTAAAAAAAAGGAGTGACTCAACTGCTCAAAAATATTAAATATAAGACAACTTCTTAAAGTTAAAGTGCTTATGACAGGTTAGACTACACATTTTACTAAAGCACAGTTAATATTTACGATTTTGAGTAACATTTTACGCTTTCTTTCCCTTTTTCTTTTGTAGGTTTCAGATTTTACTTCCTAGTTGGAAATCATGACATAGGGAAGGCAATTACATAAATATTACACAGAATAGGCCAAAACTCCCCTAATGTACAAAGAGATTATTATATGACAAATAAAATGATAAAGAAAACCATCATTATTTTTGGTAGAATTTTCCCTAGTGTAATGTCATCAATGTGGAGCTCTCTAAAATAAAACTCTCTACTTACAGTCATTTTTAACATATTTTTCAACTTTTCTTCACAAACTGCTTCTCAGTTGATGTAAAACGATAATTTATATTTACAACAGGTATTATAGCACCAAATTAGGAAAAAGTATGAATCATCAAAAACTGTCAAACGCACTTAAATCTTATTTCATGTCTTTATTTTTGGCCTGTGTTTTACAAAGTTGAATCTGTTGTTAGCTCAGATTCACAGCCGTCAGCGCTTAATTGCTGGGCTCTCCTGTGTGTTGGTGCTTGGATGAACATCTTTCACGCTCGTTCGGCCGCATCATGCCATTTTCAACCTGTCAGCGTCTGTGATCTGCCTCTGCTCCAGGGACCAAGCAGCTCCAGAGGACACGAGCTCTGCCCATTGAACAAACTTAAAAACTATTTAAGATTTATACCAGGCATAAAACAGAGTGATGGCATACATTGTGCACTTTTCCTTTTGAACCAAAACCTAAATAAATGCAATGGCTTAAATTCCACTGGTTTGATTTCCACAGATAAAAAACAGGCGCAACCTTTGAACATATTCAAACATATGCAGCCTTGATGATTTCTGCTGTATCAGTGATTAATCTGACAAAAACTGGATATTTAAGAAATCTTTTGGTAGTTCTGCAGATGTTTGACAAGCTAAATGTGTGGTTGCGATGAAATAATGTGTAAATGTGTACAAAAACATAATTAAATTGCTGATAAAAGTTGAGTCTATAAGCCTCAACTTTGTAACTGCTAACTGCCAAAAATTGTAGTCACTAGTCTGTATGCTGTACGTCATGCAAGGACAGTGAATAACTGTTCATTGTTAAATTCTGTTGCAAAGGTTGGAACTTTATTTGTGCACTCTTAAAACAAGGATAAACTTTATTGAACTGAATAGAAAAAACTGAATGACTTTAATGAAGGCATTTTAAAAACAAAATGTTTTGTCCAAGCTCCTTGAAGGGATGACACATGAAATCAACTTCCTGCAGTAATCTAATTTAGGATAGGTTTTACGCTGGATGCCCTTCCGGACACAGCTATCTTTTTTCCATTACGTTTATTCAATCTTTGTGTACACTGGCTTGTAACCGCTGTGTGTCCTGATTCAAATGCAATGCTTTCTCCGTTATACTGCTAAAAGACATTGTTATTTGTCTTGTAACTGTAAAAACAATAAAGCCCAAATTAACCCTCTGATCCAGTCAAAGAGGAGAGCATGTCTGTATATTGTCTAACCACATGTGTGTGTCCCTCCTCCCACTCACATGGGCTAAAGGCAGCTCCAGGCTCTTGAGAGGGTTTGTCCAATGTGGAGCTCTGAGGGTGAATGGCGGTGGTTCCTGAGGTGCGTTGAGTTGACCCTGAGGTCAGGGGGAGACAATGGTCGTCAGGCAGAACAAAACAGAGGCCCCCAGGCTCATGGCCCCTGTGTGGGCGGAGCCTGGAGATGGTGGGCCATTTTAAAAAAGGCATAAGTGGTGTCGAGTTAGACTGGATGTTTTGGATCATAAGTACAGGTTTGGTTAACATAAGTGCGCCCAAAATCCTCTTTTCAGTTGGCCATTTAACAGAGTGCATCACTATTCACTTGAAAAATGTTTCTTAACTTCTTGGGTTCTTTTTTGGGTTCAGCACTTTGTAAACCTTGTCAGCACTTTGTAAACCTTGTTTATAAAAGTGCTTTATAAATAAATAGCTAGCAGCCGAAACATGTCAACAAGGTAAATACATCTCCTACTGTATTGCCTTTAAAAAGAATCCAAGAAGTGAATGTAGTAAAGATGACAAAATACACGTTTTTGGATGAAAAATGTTTCCCTTTTTTTTATAAAAATACAGAAATGGTTTCAGGCATCCATAAACTTCTCCCAACAAATAATGTATGCTTCCACAATAATTAGTCTATGTGCGTTGCTAGTTTTGGGTTGTTGTTTTGTTCGTACAGTATATTTTTGTATATTTAACTACTAACAATCCATTGTTTTCTGTTTCACCACACTGCCAAAGCAAGTTTCTAATTTGTGAATTGTGTTCTCTGATGGTGGCAATAAAACATTTTCTGATTCTGATGCAACTCCTGGTCATTATCTGGAAGCTTTGAATTTCATTGTTCAAAATCTTTTAGAAATACAATGCCAATTTAAAAGTGACTTTGACAGGATATTTTGAATCTCAAATGAGGACTTGAAAGTTGAAAATTTACCTTTGACAAAAACTGAAAAATGTATCTGATTTTTGTACCTGTGTGTATTGTTTAGTTGTGGCAAGAGAGGTGTATATTCAGGGGCAGGTCTGGTGGAGAGGCTGGGAGCTTTTATCTGACCCCATGGGACCAAGTGAAGACCACTGGCTCCCGTGCGCCCACCCCCATCTCACTTCTGTATGCAGAGGAACTAGCCCCACCACTGGCTTTGTGTTTGGGGGGCTGGGGGTCATGACTGAGCGCCCTCACAGTCCCACCGAACAACTCCTCTGAGAAGGGGGGACACAGGGACAGGCCTCGGACCCTGCGCCTGGTCAGTGCTTCTATGGTCTAGAAATAAGCAAACAAATTTACTTTTAGTGGACCAAAAGGGCAGCATCAGCAAGCAGAAAAAAAAAACTGTAAATAATTAATAATGTGAGCTATTGATCAGGGGGAGGTGAACTGTAGCTTTCAGTGCTGCATGGTGATGTGTTTCTGAACAACACACACTGCAAAGATGGGGAACTTTAGGGCTTCCTCTTATAGTAAAAAAAAAAAATGTATCAAGACATAACTATACAGAGCGTAGTTTGCTAGTTCCCTCTGCTGGCCGGCAGTAATAAATTATATCTAATCTTATATCTATGCAAATTTGTATAGTAAAATATGACCCCATAACCAGTCATGTAAATCATGTGAGGAATACTGACTTTAAAAGCTGCCCCCTCGTTTTAATCAATAGACTAAATGTTTTAATGATTAAGCCAGGCTGGTGTAGTTTTTCAAGTCCTCAATTAAATCTATATATCGATTGGGGCTGGTGTGTAGTAATGAATTTGACTCCATGCACTGTGTTCTGTGTTATTGGACCCCATGCACAAATACAGTGAATATATATAAAAAAAAAAAACATGTCTCACATTTAGAATACATTTGTCTTTGTCTTAACAGCAGAAAAGATTTAATGTATTCAACAGAAATCACATAATGCTCTGAATCTATTGAATCTATTGAAACAGGGCTGATGATAAGCTCATAGCAAAGGCGAAATGATAATCACAGACAAAGAAAACAGTTTAAACAATAGATACCATGTATAGGTAATTATTATTTTAAATTTAAACAGTGTAAGATTTTTTTAATGATTGTATTTCTTATTGGTAATTTTGCAGATATAGGGCTATAATATGTACAAGTTATAAGCATATAATGTGTTTATTGTTAAAAAGAAGTATAGTATATTAATGTTTCTAACAACAGGAGTTTTTTTTACAACTAATTTCAACATCTTAATGAAAGAACAATTTTTTTTATTTTTATTTTCTACATTTGACAATGAGGTTGACAATAAAAGAAATATGAATTTCCCTGGCAATTAAATTGTTTGAGCCATTAGTTTTGTTGATTTGGTGATTCTACCTTAATAAGCATTTAATAAGACCTAAATAAATTATATAGCATTAGACAATTGTAAAATTCTGTTGTGACTAATAGTGTTCAACAATAAACATCTAAAATAGCGTTTAAGTTTAGGCCTTACATCCTGCAAGCGTAAAGACATTTACAATGCACCACAGACCTAGTAAACTAAATTACTGAATATTAATTTTTTTTTAAAATATGCTTAAACAATTTTAAAAATAGGCCTATTATTTCTTATTTTGTTCATTGACACTGTAAACTGCTTTTCTGATTTAATGTATGCCTAAATAATAATAATTATTACTGTTAGGCAACTTCTAATTTTCAGTGCCCTTGATGACTGTACGATGATGACCAATTAAACCTTTAATGAGTCAAATTGCCTTTTAAAGTTTAAAATATACAAATATTATCCCTACATAAAAATAAACAAGCACAGTGTATTTATTTAAAAAGATCCTTAATTCTGTAATTATAACGCAAATCTTACTAATTAAAGTAGCCTAATTGGTCCAATATTAAGTAGCAACAGGTTATGTTTTTATTGGGACATTTAAATCAGAAAAGAGTTAATGCCCCAGACTATTTTTACAGCTCCTCCCTGAAGTCCCGTAATCTTTTTTCTCAATGTAAACCTAATCGTGCATTAAGAGTATGACTAAGCCTCTTCCCGTTATATTCGCACTAATGTGTCGCCTCCGGTAAACGCACTCGGTCTGAAGCGTGCTCCGTCCCCGGGCTGTGCCTGGGCTCCCGGGCTTCTCTCTCCTTTCTTGGGGACGGAAGGTGGAAGCTGTTTGGCTGAAGATGCGGGTCGGAAGTACCGTAGTTTATGTATGCTAATAGGGGGAGTTGGGGGTTGTAGCTACATATTTACGTTCAGTGGGAGCCGCCCTTCATTCACCCACATGGTTACCAACTGGTCGCTTTCCTTCGCGCCACTTTACTAACCTCCTAATCATTTTAAACAGGCGCAGCTGGCTTCAAATGGGCTCGCTGTCGACTCGGATCTTACTTTGTGCTTTTCCTTCGTGTGTCGATAGTAAAGTTTTGGAGATAGTTGCGTATTTATTTCTCTCTTTTGTCGGTAAGAGGCAAGACTGCAGCCCAAGCAAGTGAGCGAAGATGGTGGATTTCGGCTGGTGAGTGTCTACCGAGCGCATGTTTATCGCCAAGGAAGTCGGGTTTGGGGTTATTCCAAGTCTTCCTTTTTGGCTTTGAAATCCAGTCTTAAGTGTTTTTCTCTTGTTTTCACTTCTCCTAACCTTAGGGCTATGGCTGTATTAAAATACGACCAGAGAATGATACGCTGGCGATGAAAACAGTGCAGCGTGAGGCGCATGGCAGCCACCATTGAGGGAATGAGGGAGATTTGAAAAGCTGTCCTAAGCTTTAAGGCTGCGCTCGAGCAACTAGTTCCAAAAACATTGTTTATTTCATAAATACCCGCAACTTTATCTCTGTTATCAAACCCACTGTGCAAAAGTAAGTTTGTCAACACGGTTAATTTGCTACTCAGCCTCGAGTGCAGTGGTGTGTGAGTTAAAGTGCCCCCCAGAACAAAGCAGCAGCACATGGGGCAGTGCTAGGCCCCGCCATTTAGCGAGCTAGTCTAGTTAGCCTAGCCTCGCAAACTTTACACTTTATTGTGGACACCAAGCACCGTGGAACTGCACATTTACAGCCCCAACATCCCTTTAGAGACAAAGCCCAATAACTCGTATGCCGAGCACAATTTTATTAAGTTCTTATGGTGGTGTTACTGACCACTCTGCTGGTCAATGTTGATCAGATATTTGGTTTACACTCGTCCCTCCGCTGTTCGCTATTTGTTCTACAAAGACTGAACTCACTGTAGAACTGGCGACTGTGAGTATTTCTTTGTCGTATTACAAAATGCTTCTTTCAGCCACAAGATTAGCCATGTTTTCGTAAAGCTAAAGTTAGCCCGCAGCAGCTAAGCTACCTGCTGTTTGTTGCTAGCCCGTGCGCGCACACCGACATTAGGTTTGTTTTCTGGGACTTCAAAATGCCACGATGTGGCTTCGCCTTTGAAATGAACCGCACGCAAATTCAGGGTGCGCTGTTAGAATCTAACTTTACATTGAACCTGACAAGTTAAAAGTAATTTGTGCTAAGGTTGGCGCACTTCGAGGCGCCATGTTAAAGACGGTGGGGGAGGGGTAAACGGCGTGCTCTGCGCAGCCGCACAGTGGCGCAAGGAACGCGGGCCACAGCCTCTGCGCTCATTCATGTTTTCTACTGACCTCGTGCTGCTGAAATAAATCATAACATCTTGTTCTTGGACATCAAATGCGGTGTTTTTATGAAAACGACAAACTATGAGCGACGCTCCACTGAACAGACTTTCAAGGTCTTAACTTGTTGCACCAAATGACTAAATTTTCATACCATCTCATTACAGATTCCTCGTGGACTGGAGACTTTCAAGAGGAGAAAACACCTGCTGAATGAAGACTGCGTTGGTGCTGTTGAGTCTGGAGTATTGTCAAAGTGCTTACAGTGCAGGTAGTACTATGTCAAACCTACTGCAGTGGAGGCACTTAAAGCAATACCCTGACACTGGTGCTCTTTGTAGTGTGTGACTAAAGTACTGTCTTTGTGCTAAGGTGCATCTAGTGCAGATAGTGACATAGACTAGCACCTACTGCCCTAAGTGCTCCTTCTGGCATAAGGGGCTGTAATATGCGCCACCACTCCAATTTGACTCTAATTGGGCCTAAATTTCTCGCAGTTCTCTGCTAGTTTTGCATAGTTGCACTACAAGAATAGATGAGTTGTGCAAATCTATGCAAAACTGATGGTGGCCTGCTTGCTCTACTCCTGTTAGATTGGTTGTTTGAGGTGTTTGTTTATGGATCCAGGATTTGAGTTGTTATCCAGTGACTTGAAGTTTCAGCAGTACTAAAGTGCTTATAGTGCAGGTAGTGTTCTTCAATCTACTGCAATGTGAGCACTTGAAGTACTTCTAACTAACTGCATCTGATGGTGCAATGTCCCCACAACCTTCTGCTTTCAATCATGACTGGGTGAGTTTTGCTGGTTTGCTTTCAGCTTTAACTAGTCGCTGTGCAAATCCATGCAAAACTGACTAGGTTATGAAACTCCTTCCCTCGGTCGATATACATCATATAAATGTAGTAATAAAAGCTCCTGTGTGCAGTTGAGTGTCCTTCTCTGTGCAGGTGGGGATTAGTCGCAATGCTGTGATCCTCCAGGTATTGCACTTGTCCCGGCCTGTGAAGGGATGGAGCAGACCAAATGTTTGTACTGTTGACCAATGTATTGCTAGATGTTTTAACATGTAATGTGATCATGAGTTCAAATAAACATTTTGACATGTTCCTTTCCTAGTTTGTTTTTATTCGTCTAATTGTGGAACACATTTTCAAGTCAGTTCAGATGTAGTCTTAAGTATCCACACATTAGATTGGTCTTGGCCTGTGCAATTTGATATGACACAAGGCTTATGCAACTATGTTAGGCTTGCTTTTTAATAGCTACTGAAACATGAACTCTATATGAAGTGTGCAAACGATACACTTAAAATGTGTGAGAGCTGTGGGCAGGACAGTACTTGCTATACTCAAAGTCCAGAGCAGAATCAATCAGCGTTTTACAAAGTTTACACATTCCTTCAATTGAATACTTTAATTTGAGAAAGTCAAAAGGCAGAAAATCATGAAGCACAATGCCAGACTGAAGTGTACTGACATAACCCCATTAGTCCACTGGATGGCGCCATCGGGTTGCACTGCTGGAGCATCTGTCCAGCGGCATCGAGCGCAGGTAATCCCACGGTACCGCCTCTGTCCTCGGTCCAACCACAAACTTGGCCAACATGCCGTCTGAATCAGAGCGCACACTTCCCGTGGCCTTCCAGTGACTGAGCGGTGATACTGGACCAGCTACCCACACGAAGTGCCACATGGTCCGGATCAAAACTGGCTCCAGAACCGGGGATGTGGACGGAACTCACCTGAGCGGACTCGCGCTTCGGAACAAACTACAACTTTAAACATTTACATTGGATTTATTCGCGGTACTGGATGAAAATGGATGTACTGTGGATCAATCATTTCTTCTTGTTGGCATGTTTTTGTGGATCGGTACTTGGGAATCCGAACAAATGTGATGAAGTGCGCAAAGTTTTTCAGCTAAGACAGATTGGACCAAGTCAGTTGCTACCGCTGAGTCCTAGGCCAGGTAGGTTATTTCACATTTCTGCAGTTTCACCACTTTGAAAAAGAGCAAGGTGACTGATCTTTTTTTTTTTTGCCTTCTGGTCATGCCTCTAAATTGGCTATAAAACTGAAAGCGTCAGTCTATGGTATGAACTATAGCATAGGGACAAAATGCACGCCCACTTTAACATTTTTCTGTTGCATTCCAAACCAATAACACGTGGACCAATTCATTTAATAGTTCATTTGTATTCTAATCAATAATCAAATGCTGAAATGGCAAGTGTGTTTTGCTTATTATGTCCCCCTTGGACCACTTACATCATCCTATCCAATGCAAAGATTATGCTGGAGGATTGGTTGTGAACTCAACTGGACATTCATGATCTGGCTAAAGCTTCTTGGAGGGATAAACAGGAGTTAAAGTTAGCCAAACTACATGTCACTCGACTTTATAAAGTAAATACATGAGGATTTTTGGAATATTTGGGTGTGAATTTATCATTTTGTCTGGTTGCTTGTACTTGTAGTTATATTTTATTATTTTTTATATATGGTTGCCTACGTGAGTGACATTTCCCCATGCAGAAAGAGAGAACCACATGTGTTTCTTATATGTCATTCCCAAGCCTGTATATAAAATGATGGACATTTTGCGTAGCTGGAACTGATGCCAGATCAATGAGCAAATTACAGCATGCCTGGAAACTGGAGATTATTTGTTGCAGAAAAAGCCAAAAGGGAAGCACTGTGGGCATATTTTTGTTAACTTATCTATTTAGTGTGGACATTTTGAAAAATAACCTTGAAAAATTCCAGGAATCCACAACAAGAACCCTTTCTACCTTTGCCACTGCCTGTCTGCCTGATAAGAAGAGCAAAGCAGACACAATTTTGGGTCAAAACAAGAAATAACCCTATCACCCAAAACAGGAAAAACACAATGAGTAAAAGTCTGTGTAAAGTATTAAAGGTAAAGTGCACTGTGTAACCTTTCCAGTGGGAGGTCTCCATGGAGTTGTTATGCTTTACCGAGAATGTCCCAGGGAATGGCATTAAACTTATCTATCTTGCATATGTTAAATAAAAACATCTGTAATTTCATTTATCAAAAATACTGACAAACATCACTGTGAGCAGGTTCACCTCTCCACAAACCTGACCTGTAACTTGGCCTGGTGGTGTCACCTGCTTGTCTGCATGAAGATAAACCAGATTAATGTTATACTGTGGATTATTGTATGCAAAGTAAAATCTTCATGGAGAAAAGCAAATGATGGATCCTTCAGAAAAGCCACACAGTGCACATTTAAGTTTGAAAAGTCATCCTCATTCATGTAATCTGAAATCCTTTGAATTCCTCCATCTCCGGGGTTCTCAGCAGTGAACCGCGCTGGGAGCTCTTGTACGTTCTGCCTCGACTTGTCAGACAGGCATTTAGTCAGAGTTTTTTGCCATGTTTTCATTACCCCCTATCAGTGCAAGATTACGTACATTTGTTCTTAATAGAAGATATGAGGCATCCTTCAGTGAAATCATAACATTTTGATTCAGATTGTCAGATTTGGACTTGCTGTTTTTACTGTAGAAATGGAACTGGAGCGGACTCATTTGGGGCTTACAAAGGTCATTCCTCACTACCGCAATGATCAAGGACACAAAAATGAAGCATAAAAAATAAAAAGTCATCGGAAAAGTATTCATTTTCACCAACTCTCCAGTCCATAATTTTTTTTCCCTTTAATCATCACTAGCTTATTTCTATGGATATTTCATTCCTTTGCCTGGAATGTTCCACAGTATGACATTAAACAGCTCTACATTAAATCACAGGAAGTTTTATTGTTCAAAAATGCACAGAAAAACATGCATTCTGATGGTGAGTGGGTTGCCTCTTCACAGATCTGACCTGTAAGTTGGTCTGGTTTGGTCTCCATGAAGAAAGAAAGGTTTAATACCGTACTGTGAAACTTCCTTGACAAAGCACTAACTTCTCCACAGAGAAAATAATTTGGCAGACCCTCCTCCAGAAAAGTTACACAGTGCACCTTAAAAGTTGATTGCATGAATGAAAAAATCTGTCTTGAAACACTCTTGGCTAACACTCCCATTTGGTGCTTTACTGAACATGTAAGATCTTATATGAAAGAAGGCTGGTTTTATCTTTATGGACAAGGCGGAAAATACTTAGAGACAGTCTGTGTTATTCATACCTCAAGGCACTTTAAGGTTTCAAATCCACTTAGCTTGTCTTTTCAGCATATATGGGTCAAGTATAATTATGCACTGTGTTTTCAATCTCAAACTGTCTATAATGTTAGTAATGCATATCTTATTTTTAAGTACAGCACAATATCAAAATGTAGTTTTACAATTATTGTGACAAGAAACACCACAGTTACTGATGTCATGATTAAACAACAGTAAAGTTCCCATTGCTTGTTACATTATGATAGGCCTGTAACATTGTTTGAAGCATGATATAATGCTACAGAGAAACATTGTCATAAATGATAATATTGAAACTTCTTCATGCCACGGACACAAAGCAGGATCAACCCAGTAAACTAATTTTTAAAGAGACAATTTCATTAAAATTCCTGTTGCTTCTGCAACAAATGAATGGCAGAATTAACTGATAAATTGCCAAAGAAGTTATTTATTCAACTGTCTACAGCTAAAATCTTAGATTATTACATAAAAATGGCAAAAATCTCCCCACTATTGCAAATAAATTGCACACACAAAAAATACTGAGCCCCAAAATATGTTGTGCCATCTATCACATATTAAGCAATTAGTCTATATAGTCGTAATTATTCTGACAGGCCCAATTATGATTTCTCCGGTAGGCAACAAGCTGTTTAAAAACCAACATTCTCCTTCATAAAGTGTTTGATAAACAGGAAATGTAAGCACTTAACATTTAGGTTTATAGTATGAGTATAGTATGAACTGTGTCAATGTACTTTCCTGATTGTATCTGATTTTTACTGCCTTAAAAACATGAAAAACTATGAAAAGAGAATGGTTTGCCGTGGCCCAATGTTATTTCTCACTTACCTTATTAATCCTGAGCATCCTAATTATTCACCACTATGAGTTTATAAACATTTTTCACAAGTCACACTTCCTGATTATTGGACATGAAAATGCTTTATAGTTCGATTCAGACAGCATGCAGCAGACATATTTAGCTGCTTGTAGTTTTTTTTTAATTTAACGATCTCCATTAGTCTTTGCAAGTGCACAGACTACTCTTCCTTCAAAATAAAAGCATATTACATTGACTGTACATTAACTGTAAAGCACATTAACAATCAATACATAACAGCAACTTCCACTGTAAGGGAAGCTGGCAGAAAACACATACACATAAGTTAAATTCTGTGCTTGGTTAGGCTAATCTACAATATACTGTAACTATACTAGGGCAAGTCAGAGTTTGCACAGATACATGGGAAGAAATCAGGTACCTGGGCTATTAATGTTGCTTCTAAATTTGTGCCAGTTATTTTTAGGTTTTATTGTGACTTGAATCATAAATTATTTAACATCTGACTTATTTTATAGGTTCGGACCTTCAGGTTTGCACATCCAAAAACCTGACCTGCTGCACTAAAAAGATGGAGGAGAGGTACCAGATGGCAGCAAGACGGGACATCCAAAATCTGCTGCAGATGTCAAGCTCCAGTCTGAAATTTCTCATCTCCAGAAATGTGGCTGCGTTTCAAGGTAACACTTTTTAAAATAAGTTAAAATATGTTCAAACTGTGTACCATATTGTGCAAACATAACATAATCACTTTAGTTTTAGATTTAGATGTCTAGTTGTTCAGGAAATGAGCAAGGCCAGGTTTATGCATCTTTGGGTGGTGGTCCACCTCTGGTTATTTGCTTGTACTTCTGTTAATGAGGTTAATATCCTAAATCTATTAAGAATCCCTTGGTATGTATTAAATATGACGACTTTAGATTTATTGATTTAATTGATGTATTAAGCATACACAGTTATGTTTTGCTCTAGTAGACATTGCATTGAATTTAACTTACAGTACTTGTCAATATTTTTTTAAGGATTCAAGGATCATATGGATTTTTTAAATGTTTAAATTAAAATATACTTGTAAGTCAGTCACTGTTAAGGACTATAATAGTTTGTGATAAGTAGAAGTTTGCCATACTCTAGAGACTCTATATGCCATTTCATTTGTATTTGTTTGATTAACATCTTGCTGTTTTTTATTATCTTTTTATTATCTTAAAGGGCCAATATTACGCTTTTTTCTGATCTGTTATAATTTTGTTTCCTTATTAAACACATAGGGTTTTGTTTCATTCACACATGTTATTACAGTCTCTGCTTATTTAGGCTTTAGAGTTCTTTTCTTAAACTGAAAACACCCTGTTCCACCTTGTGATGTCATGTGATAATACAGGAAGTGCTCTACTATGTTTCTAAACTCAATACACCTTCACTAGCATTATTTGGATAATTTTGGACCTTGCCGATCTCTACTGAACTAAAGGTAAATGGTAGCTGTTAACTTCACTGCTACCACTTCATGACATTTAGCATTTTGAGCTTTGGGGATGTAGACAGGGTTACTCAAACGAGTGAAGGAAACAAAACACAACTCCAGATATGTTTCTGAAGAAGTAACCACATTCTAACATGTCTCACAAGTGTTATATAGAAACTTTAAGCCAAATTTAGACACCTAAGTACTGTACATGTATACTCTGTGTGCTTGCTTGGTGTATTTTTAGACTTTCGTTGCATTCTCTGTGATTTTGTAAACACTTGTGAAAAAGGCTCTTCTCTTAGGCTGGTGTTTGTCTTACTATTAGTGTCTGTCCCTGTATGATTGCAGGGGCGCTCAGACTGTTTGCTTTACTGTGTACATTTGGTTAGACTCTTGGTTTGTGTGGGAGCAGAGGGACAGGATCCACTTAAAACCTAAGAAGAGAAGTTCTGTTCCTTCAAACTGTGGTCCCTGAGTCAGATAGGTCTAACCTTCAGCATAACAAAGTGCTTCCTTTAGATTACATCAGTGATTCTTCAATGTTTGTCAAGGGACTCAACGCTATAAATGAGCATAACCCAGACTAACCCGAGTTAATCTCAGGTTAATTTGATGACTGTTCCATGTATAAATCAGGAATTATCAACAATTATCCAAGATGTAGTTAGACTAACACAGAAATAAACCATAGTTTATCAAGATTTAACCAGGAAAACAAGCACTAATCCACAACTGAGCCTGAGCTAAACCAGGACTGAACCAGGACTGAACCAGGACCAAACAAGGACCAAACAAGGACTAAACCAGGACTAAACCTGGGCTAAGCAAGGATTAAACCAGGACTAAGATCGGATCGAACCAGGACTAAAGCAGGACTAAACCAGGGCTAAACAAGGATCAAACCAGGATTAAGATAGGACTGAACCAGAACTAAACCAGGGCTGAACCAGGACTGAACCAGGACATAGCCAGGAATAACAAGAGCTGAACCAGGGCTAAACCAGGACTAAACCAGGACTAAAATAGGTCTGAACCAGGACTGACCTAGGACTGAACTCTATTTACTCTACTAGTAAAAGAGGTTCTGATTAATATAGAATCAACTAAAGCTGTAATCCTTTAGTCTTTTAGTTAATTAATCGTCAATGGTGTCTTAACTGACCAAACTTTGTATTAGACGACTAATCCTTTATTTAGATTATAAGGATTTGTGTGGGACAACAGCAGAAAAGAGAAGTGAGTAAGGTATTTTTTAGTATTTATATGTAAAAAGGGCTGATTAAATTTACCATTCACAACTTGAATCTGTTTATAAATACATCATTTACAAGTACTTTTTTGCTTAAATAGTTGTTTTGCATGAACTCTTGTGCAGGTGCTGTTTGGTTCAGATATATAGAGATACCTAATAGTTTTCAAAGCTTTTGCGATGCCCCTTTTTTAGTCAACTGGTCGACTACAGCCCTAGAAGAAACAACAAAAGATTCCAGATGAAACCACAAGCAGGCTGTGTACTACTAGTGTTACTCTTACCATATTATTATAAATCCCACTACAAAAAAGAAGTTCCTACACATTCTTGACAAACTCTCTCTTTATTTTGAACATTTCGAGGCTGCACTTGTAACCCCGTTGTTGTTGTTTCCATTACTTTCCCCCTATATCCTGACCTTATCTTTCATATTGGCTATTACAGTGTGTCTGTGTTTGAGCTCTGTGCCCACTCACGCTGATCGCTGTCATATGATGGCCCATTTAGGTGGGCAACAAACAGGAGGCTTATGACTTAAATGTACAGCTCAGACGTATCATTAAGTCAATTCACTCCAACCATGTCTCTCCCTCTGAAGCAGTCCTCCTCCCACCCTCCCCCTCCACTATGATATTATACAGGGAGAGTCTCTTGATCACTGTGTTTTAGTTGTGGTTAGCACTTTGCACTTGGCATTGCCCTGTTTTTGTCGTCAGATGATTCAGCTCTCATCGGCGCAGGCTTTTGAAGTTTAAAATTGTTGCAGTTAGGGGAAGCAGCAGGATTTCGAGGAGATATGGGCACCGTTTTTGAACATTTTCTCCGGATTAGACATTTAGGTATAAGTGAGGGGTGGGGGAGGGTTTGATTAATTTAAAAAATATATATTATTAAATTTTTGTTCCTGTTTTTGTTGCAGTCTGAACAGTCATGTACTTGCAAACTAATTCAGTGTGGTTTGGTTTCTGTATTTTCGATTCATTTGAAAGGTGGACTATGCAACTTTTCATTAAAAATATGTTCTGCAGATTGTATTGCTTTCCCTAACATTAGCATTCAATTACAAGTGGTTTTATAGCCAAAGAATGAAATGAAAAACATTCCTGCTGTGAGACAGTTTTATCCCTTATTTGTCCTGGAGTTGTTTTTGTTAATCGCAAAAACAATGTCCAGATGACCACCTCTGAAACTGTCTCTTTATTCCTGTTATGAGCGGAGTGTGTTGCCTCTCCATAGATCTGGCTTGTGCTTGTCTCCATGGAGATAGACAATGCTATACTGTGGAATATTCCAAGCAAAGTTATAAGCTTGAACAATGTACTTTAAACTTTGATGTAGCAGATGCAGTTACTGTTTTGGCTACTTAAACTTTGTAGGTGATGATGATGTAGATGTTTTTTTCACAGTATCATATAGGGGTGTGAAAAAATATTGAAATATCGATATATTGTATTGGTGAATGTGATGATACAGTGTCGATATCGGGGACTGCTGTATCGATATATCACAAAGAGTATTTTTATTTTACTAAATTATTTTGTTACAGCCCTACAGTTTTGTTGCTTGTTTAGAGGAAGGAAGCTTGTTTAGGCAAGACATTTGACATTTTCACTGTTTTGATGAGTAAAATGGGTTAACTTTGCACAAGAAGTGGTTTAACAAAGACTTTTAGTATCAGAGCCATGGTTTAACCTTTACTTTTTACTGAACCATACTGAATCAATTTGAAATATATCGTATTGAATCAAAAGTGTACTGTATCGAGGTATGTATCGTATTGACAACTTCTTAATGATACCCAGCCCTAGTGTCATGTGTCAGGTGTAATTATTTTCTATTGTTGGTTCAAGTGGTTGTTTTTAATGTCTCATGGTAAGTTTTGAGCTTTTTCCAGTGTGTTTTTTAACTACAAATGGCAGATAAACTAACCTAACCTAAGCTATAATGTCTCCATGGAGATAATCAGGTGGTAGACCCTTCACTGGAAAGTTACATTACAAGGTACAGCTTTAAGGAGTTTTGCAGGTCAATGGATTGTTTGGGAAGTTGCCTTTATCTGGACAAGACCATTGCCTTGGATGACGATAACTCTTTGTATACTTTTTTCCTTGAGCTCCACTTTTTTTTTTTTTGCACCATTTTCCATTCATATTTGTAACTTTTCTTTCATTTTAAACATCCATAGACTTTTGCACAGCCTTAAGTCAGTAAATGAGATTATTGCCTGAGCTGAAGTTGTGTCTTAGCCTGCTCTGTCTGCTATTCCCACCCTTAGGCCTTAATCGAGCCTCACTGCACAGCACAGCTCACGTCAACATGAAAAATTGGGTCAAATATATAAAGTGGCTCGGTAAAGTGTTTAACATGATTACCCTGGAGGTGTGTCTTTGTTACTGCAGCAAAACACGTTATATGAGCCTGTGTGTGTGTGTGCATGACCAAACAAAAATATCATGATGTTATGAAATGGGATAGCTAAACTTCCAGAGACTTGTTATTGTCTGCTTACCTTGATTTGACTCTTGTGCTCTGAGTCAGATGTGGCCATGTGTCTAAACTGGCCTTCTGTTTGTTGATATAAGATTCGTTTATTTTGCCTGTTTACGGTAAAAGTTATTTCAGTGTAATAGGAAAATCCCTTTTCAACAAGCATTTGGATTGTATAACCAACAGTAGAGAATAAACAGAACAAAATATGTCATAAGTTTGTGTTTGTTTTTTGTTGTCATACATGTAGGTTTTGGCCAACATGACTTTAAAGGGCCCATATTGCACTATTTTCCGATCTATGTTATAATGTTATTTCCTCAAAACATACCTGGAGGTGTTTTGTTTCATTCACACATGTTTAACGCACAAACCCTGTATATTTAGGCAGAGTTCTTCTCTTAAGCAGAATACACTCCACCTTATGATGTCATGTGATAATACAGGGAGTGCTCCACTGTGTTTTTAAA